TTAATTATGGCACACCTTCAAGTCAATAACCTTAATTACTCACCATTAGCTCTCCCGTACCATTTAAGTCCATTAATGCTCTTACCGGTAACCTAACCTAACCTAAATGACACATTCTACAAGGCGCGTCTTCTCGCTATCTGTAGAATCCATCTCTACATAAGAAAATTTATCATTACCACTATCTCCACCACCACCATCCTATCCCCCACCATCTCCTCCACCATTCTACCACCATTAATTCCTTCACTATCCTACCAACCACCACTACCACTACCACCCTCACCTTACCTACCTTTACTATTACTACTACTACGCCATCACCCTACCTACCACTACTATCCCATCACCCTAACTATCACTACTACCACGTCCACCTATCACCCTCACATCTACCACCATCCTAGCTACTACCACCACTACCACACACCCGCGCACATAAAAACAACTTAAGTAATATACGTTAATTCATGTAAAATAGATCTTATTATGTCTGTTTATAAGGACCATAAACCCATGGCTTTTAAAGTGCTGGTTAGGACGAGTTTTCCGGAGAAGATGCCGTGAATTCTTACCGGATGTGCGATCAAGAGTTCCCAATGACAGGTGACGAGGAATTATGAGCCGTATGTAATTAAAGCCCAAGTCACATTACCGCTTGACAAATTTTATGGTGGCGTACGACCCCTTTACTTTGACGGAGCACCGGAGAGGTCACCAGGCAAGAGCCAAAACCACTCATTGGAAACTGCCTTAGAGGGAGGGAGGGTAGAGGGAGGAAGGGTAGAGGGAGGGAAGGAGGGAGGATGGGTGGAAGGGTGAGAGAGAAACTCCTTAAACTCTTCACTCCCTGCCCCCCCCCCTCCACCCCCTCCCTCTGGCTTAGCCGGTTAGGGAGGAGGGAGAGGATGGGTCAAAGGAAGGAAGAAGAAAGGAGGGAAGGATGGAAGGAAGGGTGCAGCCAAAGGAAGAAGGGAGTGATGGCCCAAAGAAGGAGGGAAGTGATGGAGAGATAGGCCAAATGAGGGAGGTAGGGAGGAAGAGAGAGGTGCAAAGGAGGAAGGGAGAGGGAGAGGGAGGGAATACCACTTTTATTCTTGTTTTATGAACATTCCTTGATGCATGTTAGGGCGGGGGAAATGGACGCGGGATGCACCATTAGCGTTTATGAACTTCTCGGCTGTGAGGTGTGTAGGTAAGTAATGGCCCACCCCTTAGCTGGTGATCCCGTTACTTTGTCGTAAGGAACAGATCACCTGCCCCTAATGGATCCACCCCCCCCATCACTACCATCCTCCTCTTCAACCAACCCCAACCCCACCTTCCATTCCCCAACCATTCTCATACCCAACCCCATCACCTAACCTATCACCCCCCACAGTCTTCCCAAACCTCACCCCCCACCACAACGGCAAACCCCACACCTCCTACCCCACCTCTTTACATACACACACACACACACACTTACATGCGTTGTGTACGTATTTGTGCATGTGTGCGTATATGTGTATGATTGTGTAAAAATGAATGTATATCTATAAAGCTTCATTTACAAACATAGAAATATCCGCACACACACACACACACACACACACACACACACACACACACACACACACATTTACATGTACAAACACAAACACACTGTCAACAAAACTGCTCTTCCTCTCACACAGACACAGCATAAGCTTTGTAACACAAGTTTCTGACGTTGACGTATAGAAAACGAGGTGTGTGTGTTTACGTCCCAAGTGTGTGGCAGACGTGGCCGTATAGCCTTAATGTTTTATATCTTATCAGGGAATCTCTCTCTCTCTCTCTCTCTCTCTCTCTCTCTCTCTCTCTCTCTCTCTTTTATTTTTGTCTTTTGATTCTTCTTCCTGACGAGATAGACAGGTAGATAGACAGGTAGATAGGTGGACAGAGGGAGAGAGAGAGACAGAGAGAGAAAGAGAGAGAGAGAGAGTCTTAGCTTAGTGCCGTCAAGACATTCCATTGTATCGATTCATTACTTATACACAAATATGACACGAAAAGAAAATACCCTTAAGATTCACTCTTTTATTCTTGGGCATAAATCTCAGAAAAAAAAATCGTAGATGCGAAAATCCGTCTAACTGTCTCTTTGGCGGCGAAAATGGCGACGAAATTACAGCAAGACTCTCCCGTAACTATGAGCCTTAACATCCACACTAATTATGAGGAAAAACCCATGAGGGAATGAGTCTCCGAGTATCATTAGGTGAGGAAGGGAGGGAGAGGGATTCTGGGATGGAAGGAAGTGGAGATAAAGAGGGGTATGGAGGAAGGGAAGAAGGAAAGTGGGGGTAAGGAGAGAAGGAAGGAGGGTAGGAAAGGGGGTGGTTTCTTGCAACGATGAGGATGATAGAAGGAGAAGATGTGAAGGAAGGGGAAGAAGGAGGAAGGAGGGAGGGAGGAAGACAAAGAGGGAGGGTATCTTGTGGCAATGAGGAAGAAAAAGAAGAGGAGGGGGAGAAGGGAAAGAAGAAGAAGAAGAAGGAGGAGGAAGAGGGGAGGAAGAAGAAGAAGAAGCAGGTGGAGGGGGAGGTATGAGTCATTTATTTTTCGGTAGTTGAGCCAGAGAATAAATCACCTGCCGTAGTTAATACCAGATACCTTCTTTGATGTCAAGGGGGCGGTTACCTATTTCTGTAGTACTTTATGAGTTCTCACGCCGCCGCCGCCGCCGCCGCCGCAGTTTACTCATACGACCTTCTGAACAGGACACGACTCACAAGATGGTCTTAAATAGCTATAGATAGAGAGATAGATGACTTAACAAGACATAACTCACAAAGACATGACTCACAAGACATTCTTACAGACATATGATTTTATAAGATATGAACTCATAAGACGTAATTCACAAACATATGACTCACATGACCTTACAGGCTTACATGATATGACTAACACAAGACATGATTCACACAAGACATGACTCAAAATACATAACTCACAAGACATTAACACATAACACATTGACTCAAAATATACTCACAAACTGTTTCTTTCTAAACTAAGGTAACACACCTCACCTCCCGAAAGAGTCTCAGTGATACATCGACGCCCATCTTGCTGCATCCTACACCAGATCAATGTTATACGGCTGCGTGGGAAAGCTCTATGAACGCTCGCCCTCACTGACTCATTTAACTGATAGTGATGTTGATGTGTGATTGTTATTTCTGTGTTCTTGCTTTCATATTTTTACAGGTATAATTTTGTTAGGGTTTAGGTAGTCTGTCTGTCTGTCTGTCTGTCTGTCTGTCTGTCTGTCTGTCTGTCTCATCCCCTTCCGTACTTCCGTCTACACATTCCAAGGCAATTATATAATACTCTAATTTGCCTTTTAAATAAGTAGTAAATTAGTTATGGTGATGGTGGTGGTGCTAGTGTTGGTGGCAGTAGTTGTGGTGTTGATAGTAGTAGTAGTGATGGTGGTGATGGTGGTGATACTGATGGTGGTGGTAGTTATGGTGGTAGTGATGGTAGTGATAGTGGTCATAGTGATGATGATGGTGGTGGTGATAGTGTTCATAGTGATGATGATGGTGGTAGTGATAGTGGTCATAGTGATGATGGTGGTGATAGTGATGGTAGTGGTAGTACTGTAGGTGTGGATGTGATGGTGGTGATAGTGATGGTAGTGGTAGTACTGTAGGTGTGGATGTGATGGTGGTGATAATGATGGTGATAATGGTGGTGATGGTGGTGACCTTGCTGTAGACTATAAGGGTCGGGACGGATACGCAGCTGCGTCTCGCCTCAGTCCTGTAAACTCGCCCACAACATTGTCTGTCTCATTACCGCATCAAGGCTGTTCCCTCATACACTTGTTTCATTCATAATGCTGCTGCCTCCTCTCTCTCTCTCTCTCTCTCTCTCTCTCATGTTTTTCTTATTTTCGGTTTCGTCTGTTATCCTAATTCTCTTCATTTCCCATATTCTCTTCTTCTTCTTCTTCTTCTTCTTCTTCTTCTTCTTCTTCTTCTTCTTTATCTCCTCATTCTAAATTTCTTATCTTCTTTTTTCCCCACTTTCTTTCCGTGTCCCTCTTTCTTCTTCCTCTGTTCTTATTCTCTCTCTCTCCCTCGTATTTTTCCTCTGTCATTCTTCTCTTTGATCTTACGCTTATTTATGGTCTCGTGAATACATTAGTTTTTGCTCAACTTTGTATAAGTGTCAAGTATATAGGATTTTGTTTTTATTATTATTATTGTTATTATTTGTTATTATTATTATTATTATTATTATTATTATTATTATTATTATTATTATTATTATTATTATTATTATTCCTTTGTTTTTTCCTCTTTGTCTCCATCTTTATCTTCATTTGTGTTTTTGGTCTTATTTTTGTTTAACAAGTGTAGATTATTCTCCAGTTCTTCCTTTTCCTCCTGCTTCTATCTTCCTTGTTTACTCTTCCTCTTGTTTACTCCTTTACACGCCGTTATTCTATTTCCCTTCATCATCTTCCTTACGAGTCGGGTTAAGTAGCTACGCCAAAAGTGAATAAATTAGTGGATAATAGATAAATGAATAGAATAATAGATAAAGAGATGAATAAGCTAAACAAGAGTCATTTTTTATTTTTTTTCTTGATTGATGTGATAATTAGAATGGTCGAAATATCCAGGTGTCTAAGGTGTTCGGCCAGGTAATTATTCTTCATTATTATTCTATTCTTATCCCTTGGGAACCAACAAAAAAAGAGAATAAGAGAAACACCATTTAAAGATTACCCTGTCTTTATCTTTCTCTTATTCCTACCTGTACTGACTGTCATATGACTGTCATACAAGTGTCATGTCGTAATTTAATCATCAAAACAATAGCCGTCTCTTAACCTCGTGTTGAATCAAGAGTATAGTTCTGTCTATTGTTATTTTGTTATGGCTCTTGTCATATCTGTGTTTTGGTGGCTGTCATGTGACTGTCATGTCAACGGAGGTGTTTGTTGTTGTCTCCCACAGGTGAAGGAACAGCTGAGTCAGTACAGCATCTCACAGCGGCTGTTCGGAGAGTCTGTGTTGGGTCTCTCTCAGGGCTCCGTGTCCGACCTGCTGGCCAGACCTAAACCGTGGCATATGCTCACCCAGAAGGTAAACACACACACACACACACACACACACACACACACACACACACACACACACACACACACACACACACACACACACACACACACACACTCACTCACACACACACTGCTGTATCTCCTCCTCCTCTTCACCCTCCTGCTCACCTAACTACCCCTGTAACACTTCCCTCACATCGTATAACTAAACACGTTTTTGTATTTTTAGTATTTTGGGTTAATTCTGTATTCATTTTAAATCCTAATTCTCTGGTCTGTACTAATTCTCAGTAATTCTGTCATATTGCCTTGAACCTAATAATTGAGTATATGCGTTTTACAACATGTCTTTTATAATAATCATGTAACGATACTTCATAATAATTAATTCCTTAATATAATCATAACATATAATTCTATAATAAGTTATAATTATAGCCGTTTAATAATGCTACTACACCCCTATAATTATATAACAGTCATAATGGTATATAATGGCTATACTTGGATATATAATAATTAGATGATAATGATATAATTCTATGATTATAATGTTATAGCACTATGTAATTATATATGACGTAGTTGTGTAATAATTCAGCAATTCACATCTGATTAATTAAATATACTGATAATTAAAATACGGCAGAGATACTAAACAATTCACTTGCCTAATGACTCTGACAGTACAGTTAATTACTAGGTTATTATACTGTATACCTGAAGAACTTAATCACACCTTAACTCATTAACTCCACCTGTGTGTTGAAACCCCTCATAACCCTCCCCTCCCCTTATCCCCTTTCCTCTCCTACCCCTTACCCTCCTCCCCCTACTCCGTACCCCCTACCCTTACCACCCTACCCTACCCTCCTTCCCTATATGGTACCACACACCCCTACCACCCTACTCCTACCCTCCCCCTACCTCGTACTCCACCCACCTACCACCCAACCCCTACCCTCCTCCCTACCCACCCCCCCCATCCTCTACCTCTCCCCTCCCCTTCACACTACCCCCCACCTCCCGCAACTTTGTAACTGGAGACTTAAACTGTATCTAACAATGAATCCCCAACCAAACTGTAACTGTAACTGAATGTGATATTAAACTGTACCTCACAACGAATTCCCTTCAAAACTTAACTGTAACCGGACATCTGACTGTATTTGACAGGGCCGGGAACCGTTTATCCGTATGAAGATCTTTCTGGAGGATGACAACGCCGTGCATAAGCTGGTAGCCTCCCAGTACAAGATAGCCCCTGAGAAGCTAATGAGGACAGGAGGCTACACTGCCCCGCCACGTAAGTCTTGTTCTACTTGTTTGTTGGGTCTGTCTGTCTGTTTGTATGTATGTATGTATGTATGTATGTATGTATGTGTATGTATGTATGTGTATGTATGTATGTATGTATGTGATGACAGTCCCCCCACATTACCATTAATGTATAAATAACATAATAAATATCAAGATAGTTTCTGTGTCAGTGTTAAGCTTTTGCTTTGCTTTACTCACTCTGGTTTTCCTCTGCCCATTTTCTTTGCCTCAACTCACACGGGGTAACTTAAGCCGCTGTTCTCACATAATTTAAACATAGATGGGCCAGTAGTGGACATCCTTCTCTTCCTCCAAGATTAATAAACCTGTTATATTAGAAGCCAAGACAGCAACAACAGCTTAAAGAATAATAATGCTAACTAAAAATGATGTCACTAGTCACGGATCCTTGAAGTCACTAATCCGACCATTCATGTATTAATAACATTCTTTGTTTATACGTGTACAATGTCCCCCATACTGGATGAAATGTTTCTTAACCGTTCCTTGTACTTTTCGTTTTTTTAGTGTATTTAGTCGGTGGGTGTCCACTGCCTGGGGGCTTAACGGCCCCAGGGTCGCGTCTCCCAGGGGTGTTGTCCACTACTGGCTCACCTACCCTTCCATCATACACAAGTAAGCCATCATGCCTGCTTGACCTCACCTCCTGTGTCTCATGAAGCATATCGTGTGATGTAGCCCCGCTCTGTGCTTGTAACGTTAACTATGAGACCTTTAGTCAGTCTTTGGTGCCATTAACTTCATGAGGACTGCTTCATGTTAACTTATATAATAATGAAGCATACTGTATACGTGACATTTTACACAATATTCAGACATATATAAAAGACACGAAAGCAGAGACCAAAGTGATTTCTTAAGCAGGCAAAACTTAAGAGAGAAATATTGGCCAAGATATCCTGAAGTAAACCTCCTGTCTCTCCTTCTCTCAGGCACCAACAAGCCCCTGCACCACCTCAAGCTTCCGCCGGACCTTCCCAAGAGCATGGAGTCGCCTCTTCCGCCCGTGGGTATCCCTCCCTCCCTCGGTGGCCTCCCTCTCCCGTCACACCCCATGTCCTTTGATGCCAGGATGCCGCTCCTCGACCCCCTCAGGAAGGTACTGCTGACGGAGTGTCTTTATATCTTGTTTTCTTAGTAACTGTTTGTTATGAAGTAAATAAAATATGATCAATGGAGGTAATGTTGATGGTTAAATTATTTCACACATTATCTGTTTAGTTATCACCATTAAGGTTGATGTATAATTATGGATTATTCTTGTATTAATGCTCAAGTCAGTGTCCAGTCAGGTGGATCCTCTTATAGAAGTAGATAGAGAGAGAGAATCTCACGCAGGGTAAAACAGAACAAGTGTAAACAACTGAAATTAAAGGTGTTGCTGTGGTCTCCGACAGGCTGGGATGTGTGGTGTGCGCGCCCCGGGACCAGTAACGCCTTCAGTGTACGAGATGGCTGCCCTGACCCAAGACCTGGACACACAGACCATCACTACAAAGATCAAAGAGGCTCTACTGGCTAACAACATTGGACAGAAGGTAAATGATCTCTTTTCGAAGTCTTCATAAGAAATAGGGGATCACTTATTCAACAAAGTTTTCAGTCTAATAATATTCTCGTGTCACCAGATAATACCGTAAGTGGCGTTCCTTTGGCTAACTTTTTTTTTTTCGTTTCAGCTGTTTGGCGAGGCAGTGCTGGGGCTGTCTCAGGGATCAGTCTCGGAGCTGCTGAGTAAACCCAAGCCATGGCACATGCTCAGTATCAAGGGCAGAGAACCATTCATCCGTATGCAGTTGTGGCTCAGCGAGTCTCGTAACCTGGAGAAGCTACAGCAACTGAAGAACGAGCGACGGGAAGCCAACAAGCGACGACGCGCCTTGGATCCTACAGTAGAAGTGTCACAAGACTCCCAGGATGTATTCCAGGCTCCTTCACCCGGAGGCTCCTCAAAGAAACAACGTGTTCTGTTCTCAGAGGAGCAGAAGGAAGCACTCCGGCTGGCCTTTGCACTCGACCCTTACCCAAACTTAGCCACCATCGAGTTCTTGGCCCAGGAGCTGCAGTTGTCCACTCGCACCATCACTAACTGGTTCCACAACCACCGCATGCGGCTCAAGCAGCACCCAGGTAGTCCAGGCGACAGTTCACCTTCATGTGACCAGCCACCTCCAGGCCAGCCACAAGGGCAGTCCTTCGACCCCCTCCACTTCCGTCTTCTCCTCTCTCAGCGACTGATGGAACTGAGGAAGGAGAAGGGTCTACCCCCCACCATGGCGGGTCTGGGTCCCGGTCTGCCCCATGGTCTCTTCCCACACTTCCCACACCTGGGACCACATGGTCTGGGCGGCCAACCCCTGGACCGAGATATTGGCAGTGGTCTCGATCTCAGCATGAAACCAGATAATGACTATGATGACTCATCGCTGGTGGATGAAGATTCCAATATGTCCGGTGCCATGAGTCCAGGTGGAGGCGGACGGTCGGAGGGTGAGGGTGAGGACCGTGACGGCCGGGGAGCTCCCTCACCTGTCTCTCGGTCCTCTCGTCGAAAGCCCGCCGCTCCTCAATGGGTGAATCCCTCCTGGGCGTCTGGTGAGGGTGGCAAGGAGCGAGAGGTGATCATTAACGGAGTGTGCGTCATGCAGACAGATGACTACCGTTTGCGTGAACAGGAGACAGTACGTATAGAACCAACCCCGGTAGATGAGGCTCGAGCCCGTTCACTGAAGGAGGAAGCAGAGGAGGAGACAGAGACAGATCAGCAGCCAGCCTCCAATGTACCCTCCTCCCCGCGCCCAGACACCATGGAGGGAGAGCAGGTGACGTTGCAAGAGGAAGATTCTTCCACTGTGCAGGAGGAACCCACGCCCAGCCAAGAGACCATCAAGGAGGAGGCTGAAGTAGAGGAGGAGGAAGAGGCGTGATGCTAGCATCGGCCTAAAACGACGCTTTTGGATTCCAGAGTTTATCCCGTTGTTCTTAGCGTGTTGTTGTTCGTGCATTATACCAAATGTTTCGTCCCGTCGGCAAGTGGTGAGCTTCGCAAAGTCGGACGATGATGCCAAGGTGTTGTGTCGCCGGAGAGCCTCGTGGAATCTCTTAGGCACATTGTGGGCCTTTAAAATCACAATTTAGACTCTCAAGTCATAAGTCCTACAAAATGTCAACCTCTGTTATTTTATTATGAAATGTTCGTGTGTTTTACTTGTTAACTTGTCTAAAGATTTGTATATATATTTCCCAAGTTTTGATCAAGCTCCCCTTAGGTTAGGTGACTTCAGGTATTTAGAATGCCATAATGCTGAACTGTTCTCTGCTTGTTGCCAACGTGACAGTGGTGGGAACTCCGACCCCTGTACAGTGCTTCGTGTGCAGGGGACCCACAAAGGCCCCTCGTTACAGGTGGTCTCACAAGACGAGTGTTTCGTACCAGTGAAATGGTCGAATCCTGATATAAAAAAATACAAGTATATGCCCCTGTGAGATAAGGATATATTCCGGTGATCCCTTCATTGACCAAATAGTACAGAGTAGAACCAAATAGTAACCCCGTTTCCCCGAGTGAGACGAGCAAGTAACCGTGGAAAAAGGTAAACAAACACTCTGGCTTGGGTACAGACACACACCTCCTCGTGTGTCCAGGAAACAAACGCTCGAGACTGTTAGTTCTAGTCTTTTATTTCTCAACTAATTTCACATTTTTTCATCGTTCAGTGAATTATTCGTACATGAGGTATCCATCTAGTCTATGGATTCAGCATTGGTTATTCAAGATTTCATGATCTCTCGTAGCCTTTCCCAGTGTGTTCAAAGAGAAGACTTTTCTGCGCCGGCTTCAAGAGTGGCAAGAGACCATTGATTATGTGCGTAATGAAACTACCCCCCGCCCTGCCCCGCCCCGCCCTGAACCTGCCCTGCCCTGCCCTGCCCTGCCCTGCCCTGCTCCCAGCCTCTTCCCGGGATGAATGGCCAATGATTATCAACCAAGTGTAGTGAACTAGCAATGGAAGACAAAAATAAAAGAAGGGGAGGACAAAAAGACCCGGACTGTTTACTGTAGCGTGACTCGTGCGCTGTACATGACTGGTGGAGCCGCCGAGCGGGACTTGTGTGAGGGACTCCTGCGGTTGTCTGGTGATGAAATAAGACATCAAGCTTGTGCCCGGGAAGGTTCTTGAGGCCAGACACGAGGAAGAGGACACGGGGAGGTTCTTACGGCCAAGGAAGAGCAAGAGGACGAAGACATGGGCATTACTGACCAATCATCACCCGCGTGTCCGGAGATATGTGTGTATATGTATGTGTGGCCGTGAGTGACGGTGGGTAAAGAACAGGAGCTGTATCGCTTGTCTTGTTATTGATTATAAGGTTTAAGAGTGAGTATCTGTGGAAATTTGTACAATATTTTGACTCAACTTTTTTTTTCTTACTTCAAATAATTTATATTTATAATAACTTTGTAACGTCTCTTACTAAGGCCAGTTAAAATCCTCTGCGAGAATTACTCACACGAAGCACTAAGAGCTCACCTAATCGAACCTGCTGATGACAATCGTTAAATAAGTACTCATTATATCATCTATTCGCCCATTAAACTAACGACATCTTGTAATTACTCCAAATAAGTTGACGATTATATACCGTATCGCAATTAATATAATGAATGACCCAGACAAGAGAATCTCAACCTTAGAACACATACGTATTATTATTATTTTTTGTTTTCTTCAGCAAATAAAAAAAAATGCGTCTTTATAGCCCATTCAGGATAAGTTCAGCAATTGACTGTAATAATTCAGTAACAACAAAGTGACAGACACGAGATTTTTTTTTTTCATTATCTCATCCCAAGAGAACGTCGAGACTCATGTGAGACATTTCAAGGTGTATCTAATGAGAGATGTTCTCTTGGGGGGGGAGGGGGGGATGGAGACCCTTCTTATGGCTGTGATCACGCGTCTCCTCCACCCCGGGTACCTGACTCCTCCACCCCGGGTACCTGACTCCTCCACCCCGCGACACACCTCCACCCCAGGTACCCGACTCCTCCACCCCGGGTACCTGACTCCTCCACCCCGCGACACACCTCCACCCCAGGTACCCGATTCCTCCACCCTGGGTACCCGACTCCACCACCCCGCGAATCACACCTCCACCCCGGATATCTGACTCCTCCACCCCGCGACACACACCTCACTTGCCCTATTTTCTAAACCTGCTTAACTCTATCTATAACTGAATTGCCCTAATTATTAGCTTAAATTGCCCCAAAACCAGACTTTACTTGCCCTCTCCCACATCATCCCTCCGACCAGACGACGAGTCCTGACCACCTCCACGAGACCCTTACCACCCTGATTTCAGTCCCGACTTTTTCCTCCATCCCCCGACACCCGACAACAACGCCGCCCGACCAGCAAGAGGCCCGCCCACCCTCGGCGGGTCCGGGTGAGGGCGTGGAGCCTATTGTAGTGGCCGGAGAGTGACATTTGACTTACTCTTCCCCGCCAAACGATTTGTTCAAATTTTCCGTGTGACCGATAATGATAATTGTGTCCGTTCCGGGGAATTTTTCTGTGACTGTGTGTGTGTGTGTGTGTGTGTGTGTGTGTGTGTGTGTGTGTGTGTTTTAAGTACCTATTCGTGTGTGAGAATGTGTACTTTAAACTCCTAAGTCCGTATACAGTCAAGTACGTATAGAGTCATGTACGTATACAGTCATGTACGTGCACCAGATACCGACACAAAACACTTCATGACTCACCACCAAAAAATAAAAATGAAATAAAAATCTCCGCCGGATAAGAACAATTATCATTATAATCATTATAGGTTCCAATTTTTACCTACTATTGAACAATCGTAGGAAGTCTTCCGATGGTACCAATAGCACTGTCATCCCTCCTTCCTTCCCTCCCTCCCTACCTACCTACCTCCCTCTTCCCTCCACCCCTACCTACCTCTCTCCACCCATTACCTTTCTTCTCTCTTCTTCTTCTTCTCTCTCTCCCCTCCGAGCAGGAAGACTGAAATTACCCAAAGAAGTCAATAGGCGGACCACTTACAAAAGAGACAGTTCCGCTCGATGGCTCTCCATACTTTGTCATACACATTATTATAATACTCACGGGATAATGTTAAAAAAGATAGGGGAGCAAATTCATGATCTTCTTCCTGACGAGAGAGAGAGAGAGAGAGAGAGAGAGAGAGAGAGTAGAGAGAGAGAGAGAGAGAGAGAGAGAGAGAGTAGAATGAATGGTGAATGATACATTAAAACGAGAATTAATTGTATAAACAAGTATAGATGATAGAGTGTATTATACGGAGGAGGATGAATACAACTACGGACTAGATGTATGATGAGTGTGATGATTGTTTAAGTGTGTGTGTAATGACTGAGGCAGGGTGGTGATGGGGGTGGCGATGGGCGGGTCTTGACTCGTGGTGATCACCTGTGTTAATCTAATTACGCTGGGCTGCATCCATCCTATATTTATGGATGTGGCAACGAGCCTATGTAAAGTCATTTTCGTTTTCCATTTGTGGTTGGAAACGAGGGTGACGCTGAGTGATGGACCCCTGGCAGGAATAATGAGCTGATTTCGCATTTTGATTTGCAATTTGTTGTATTTTGCATACGCTTCTTTTGGCGTGTCTTTCAGGGATAACAATGCAGTGTGTTGCAGGTCGAGGAGGCAAGTTCCCCTTGCATGTGTGATGAGGACAACTGGGAACTGTGTTTGTCTTTTTTTCCTCAGTCGAAATTGTCTCCAGAAATGTCAGGTATTTTCCTGTGTTTGATGTTACCAGAGGATGAATATTGTACAACTTTCCACAAGAAGGACGTTTGTTTTAAGTAGGAAAAAATTGTTTTAATAATTAAGTTGTCGTTAATTGAACGTTTCGCGGTGAGTTATACCGGTGAGTCTTAAGTGACAGGTGAGATGTAGCTGAGGAAGTGATGTCGCACCTGACGTCAACACACCTGTCATGGTGTGGCTGTGACGTCAGGGTGACCCTAAGTTAGCAAGGTCTGAAGATGTGGCTATGACGTCAGTGAGGCCTTGTAGATCTACACTATTGTTTACAGGTGTTGTATTATGTATAAACAAAACAAGATGGATCTTTTTCCAAGTCATTTTTATTGTTCTTATTCGTTGATTATTTATATATATAATTACAATTTTTTAAGCAATATTAATTATTTCGTGTAAGCTGTTGAACTGTGAATTATTTATCCATGAAGGAGAGGACAGTGACAAGCCACGTAGGGAGGTGGTGACGTGAGGCGGTAACACAGACAGGGGCGCTCATGTAAGGCTTATACTCGTTCTAGAGTGATGGTGAGGCAGGTAGTGTTAATTACAGGTGTTTCAGTAGACCTCTCACCTCCACGTAGCTCTCATGGCAACATTTAATCACTGGAAAAGTAAATAAAGAGGAAAAATGACAAGTTTGTGTGAGAAAAGAGGAAAACTTTTACAATTGTATTGATTTTTTCTACATTATTTATTGATTATATTTTCCTTCTCTTGTTATTATTGAAGAGAGTTGTAATAAAATATCTTCACAGTACCACGGTCAGCATGTCTGTTGTCTCACACTTCTCGCAACACACTTCACACCCCAGTACTGGAACATTTATGTAGAGCACACACACACACACACACACACACACACACACACACACACACACCTGATCAGCACACTGACTCGTGAAATATGCTTAATGATTAATACAGAGACCATTAATGTACTCTGATTATATACTGACTTCATTAGCGTGCTTAGTGATTAATACTGGGTTCATTAAATGTATTTGATAATTGCTGGAGAAAAATTCATTAAATGTATTTAGTGATTAGCGCTGAGCTCGTGAAGTGACTCGTAATAATATTGAAGACCTTTGATGATTTTACGAAATAAATGGTAATCCCGTTCAAAGATGATCAAATACAGTGATTTTTGCTTAAGACGGTCACGTAATTATAGTAACCCTTGATAACTTGTACCTGCATAGCGGTACAAAAAAGTGCTAACCCACCAGACTCGCTAAGGATCATTTTCCAGAGGATTTGGTGAGTTTAATAGACTGTCTCGATAGATGATAATGTCCTGTCATTAAGAGGCAGTGTCTCAAGGGCACCACAGAGCACTGAGGGCAAGTCTTCAGGTGATGCCTCATCCCCGTGACGTCAATATCCTGCCTTAGATAAACAAACCTCAACACTGCAACTCGTACAATCCAGTTTACGTTGCCACTCAAGAAGGCGCAAGTTTTAAGAGTAGCAGGTGGATGTTGTCGCCCTGAGTCTTGGTGAGCATTAGTCTCAGTTAGTCTGGGGGAAGGACGAAAATTATTCATTATGCTCACTGCCGGGATGTCGTCCATGTTGACAGGGGGCTACGTTTCTCAAATTATATATATATATATATATATATATATATATATATATATATATATATATATATATATATATATATATATATATATATATATATATATATATATATTCCACTGAAACACTGAGTAGTGAGGAAGTCAGTGAGGTGTACTCGACGTGGTCTGTCTGTCTGTCTGTCTGTAGTTGAAAGCACTTACAAGTGAGGTTCATTTGTACGATACAAATACAGGAGCGCATAGTGTTACTGCACTGTGTTGTGGGACTCAAATAGCCAAACAGGTTGCATTTATTATTGCAAAGTTGTTAAAGACCACAATGGCTGCCGAGGGTGGTGGTGACCAGCCCACCGCCCGGGCTCCACCGTCTCCAACTTTTCAACAATAATCAACCGAATGGAAGCAATTATTTACAAAGACAATCAATTATTTCCCCCATTCACACCATCTGTCCTCATGGTTATAATTATGTAAAAAAAGAATACATAGTTAAGAGACAATAGTATCATTTTGACCTATCAGGAGGAATGTGATCTGAGAGGTGATTGGTTGTGAGGAAGTTCACTATTTACCATGATAAACAAATAGTAACTTTACTATCAGATGTAATCACACGCCAGAGGCCATTCCTTCTTTTGTGAACCTTTTCAGATCTCCTGACCTGTAGCTGACACTCCGCTGGGTAGAAAATATATATATATGAATTAGAATTCCAGTGTATGTTGTTTTTTTAATGAAATATGTACGTACTAGGAGGAGAAGATGTGGATTACATAAGTTGAGGACGGCCAGCTAGTGTCTGTCTCTGTAATGACTGACTACATTACCAGGATAATTACCATATTGTTTGTAATTAATTGTGTGGTTTTCGTGCCTTCCTTGTTTCCTTGTTCGTTAATTTGTTTGTTTGTTCTCCTGTTAGCCACGCAGTATTCCTATCTGGCACAGAAATTCTGATGTACGTTAGTCTGTCTGTCGAGGGAATATTTGAACATGATTAGCTGATTATAATTTTTTTATTTTTTTTTTAGGAACCTGTATAGTGTCCTCTTAGACAATATTTCATTCCAATGATATTCCAGAACCCCGTATGCTGAATAGTGGATGACAATGTGGTGTGTTGATCAATAATGAGCCTTAGATGTGGGTGTCATAAAGAGCGCTTTTTTCTGTTCCTTCAAAAACTAAGTGACAGTGATTGTGTGTGTGGGAGGCTGTTGATCACGTGTAAGAGATTCACGAGGGACAGAGATCTCCTGTAATTGCGCAGCGCCCTGACTGAGAAAAGTGCGCAGCGCCGTGACACGAGAAAGCGCTCAGCACAGCAATTGAGTGCGTCCAAGTCTTGAGAGGACGCATTCTCACCCTCAAATGTGATGTTAATCTGTTATCTTATTCACTAGATAGCAAACATGACCTTATTAACCCCTGCTTGCATAATAGAGAGATGATTTTCTCCCTCCCCCCTTTATCGAGAACAAGAAGAATTATGTCAAGAATAATTAGCCATGACTCGAACAGTGCATAATAATAATAATAATAATAGAGTGAGAGAGAGAGAGAATAAGAATTGAGCGAAAGAGAGAAAATTACGAAGGCCAAAAAAACTAATAATAAATCACTAAAGACTAAGCCTACATGACATAAATATACAGTTATAAGAAACGGAAGCTTGAAAATGTCGAGTGATACGGAGGCGTGTTTATAGATGTATAACAAAGGCGCTATTTAAAGTGAATTTTGAATTTCTGTGGGAGAGAGGGATAGCCGGTGTGGCCGACACTTGCCGCGGCGGTGATCGAGGTCTGCCGGGGGGGCGACCTCTTGTGCCAATTGCCATGTTTCTTCTTCTGTGTCATCAAATAAGGGTCAGTATGGCATTTATCTATTGAGCATTTTACGCCCTTATCTACTTATACTTACAGTCACAAGATAGGTAGAACCCACCACCCATGGTGTGTATACTGCGGCTGGTCCTCCACCACACTTGAGTACAGTACTGTGGTGTATGCGAGCTGCAGTATACACACTGCCGTATACATTGTTAGTATACAACCCATCCTGCAAGAAAAATTTTGCATTGTAAGATTTTAAATTAAGTTTAATATTATTGTACATAAGATATTCATATCAGTCTGTATGTCTTTTGAGATTTCTAAATTAAAACTATTTGTCTGTATTTATACAGAATATATGTGGTTTTATTTATCCTATTACCTAAGATTGATTAAAAAGGGATTGAGTTTATTCTGAAATATAATTTTACCTGAATATAAAGAGACAATAAGTGCCTGGAGAAATATACAGGTGTACAGGTGTTTTTAATTAGTAAACCCACATAGGTATTGACCAGGTCGGGGGTCATGTTCAACACCTATGAACCTTTGTAGTGTTCACACGACAAGAGGAACACCTATCACCTCCCTAGGGAGTTTTTTCTTTTTAATAAACATGAGTAAATGTTATCGGTTTACTGATAAAAGAACAACCAATATTTTTGTCGGTTTTCAGACAAAAATTATCTCCTAGACAAGAAAAAATACAAATGAGCTGTAAAATATATCAGTATATGACTCTGTTATAACAGTATATCACTAGTATATCAGTATATGACTGTTATAACAGTATATCACTAGTATATCAGTATATGACTCTGTTATAACAGTATATCACTAGTATATCAGTATATCACTCTGTTATAACAGTATATCACTAGTATATCAGTATATCACTCCGGTATAACAGTATATCACTAGTATATCAGTATATCACTCTGTTATAACAGTATATCACTAGTATATCAGTATATGACTCTGTTATAACAGTATATCACTAGTATATCAGTATATCACTCCGGTATAACAGTATATCACTAGTATATCAGTATATGACTCCGGTATAACAGTATATCACTAGTATATCAGTATATGACTCTGTTATAACAGTATATCACTAGTATATCAGTATATGACTCCGGTATAACAGTATATCACTAGTATATCAGTATATCACTCTGTTATAACAGTATATCACTAGTATATCAGTATATGACTCTGTTATAACAGTATATCACTAGTATATCAGTATATCACTCCGGTATAACAGTATATCACTAGTATATCAGTATATCACTCCGGTATAACAGTATATCACTAGTATATCAGTATATCACTCCGGTATAACAGTATATCACTAGTATATCACTATAACAGTATATCACTAGTATATGGTATAACAGTATATCACTAGTATATCAGTATATCAGTATATCAGTATATCAGTATATCAGTATATGTATATATATCACTCTATAACTCTCAGTATATCACTCTATAACTCTCAGTATATCTCAGTATATCTCTCTCTCTATATCTCTCAGTATATCTCAGTATAACTCTCAGTCTCTCTCTCAGTCTCTCAGTGTCAATGTACAGAGCTGTTAATATTTTTTCACTACCGCCTGAGTGTTTGGTCAGAGAGAGTGTCAGAGTGTTTATGTGCTGTCTGTCTCTCTGTCTCTACCGGAAACATCTTGTACTCTACAGACTCAAATTACCATTCAACTGTTGACTCGAGCCGTAACACTGTACCTCCCGCCACCCCATCAAAAAAACAAAAACAACTGCCGTATTCCATTGAGACCAAGTTAGGAGTCTCAATGAAAGATTCCAAAAAGAAACCTGAATGTAGGTAATGATAATAGATGGCATGAGTAGATAACATAACAACTGAACAAGAACAAGGTGAACATAACAATGCTCTTGGAGGGCCCTTGGGAAGACGGTAGTTAGGGGAAGCCAGCAGATTATATTAATGGCTATTGAATATTTTAATTTTTATTCCAATTTCACTCTATTTCTCCTTTAAATATCTGAATAGTACGTTTGTCTGAACTAAATGACATAACTACCCATTCTAACGAGGCTAACTATCAGATAACGAGAAATGATGTAGTTACTAATCGTTCGGTAATCTGATTGGTCGACTAAGTGGGAAAATGGAATAAAAGTCACACACACGCACCCCGACAGATCAGTTGCTCTGTGACCCCTGGAGGAGGAGGTCACAGCTTTTGTCTGTGTGTGTGCCAAGGATAGTTTCAAGGTGGTGTGAGGACCCAGCATGCTTTATACAGGTAAGGCAAAGTGATTATACTGTGTTGTGGTTTAGTGATGGCCTAGTTTTTATAAAGGATTTAGCGCCGTAGTTTGAGAGAAGTGACCGCAGTCTTAGCGCCGTAGTTTGAGGGAAGTCACCGTGGTTTTATTAGGGTTTTAGCGCCGTAGTTTAAGGGAAGTGACCGTGGTTTTTATAAAGGATTTAGCGACGTAGTTTAAGGGAAGTGACCGTGGTTTTTATAAAGGATTTAGCGACGTAGTTTAAGGGAAGTGACCGTGGTTTTTTATTAGGGATTTAGCAGTTTAAGTTTAAGTGGACCGTGGTTTTAGTGACCTGGTTTTTGCCGTGGTTTTTAGCGTAGTTTAAGGGAAGTGACCGTGGTTTTTATAATTTAGGAGTTTACCGTGGTTTTTATAAAGGACGCGACGGGAAGTGACCGTGGTTTTTATAAAGGATTTAGCGACGTAGTTTAAGGGAAGTGACCGTGGTTTTTATAAAGGATTTAGCGACGTAGTTTAAGGGAAGTGACCGTGGTTTTTTATTAGGGATTTAGCGCTGTAGTTAAAGGAAACTCCATAATATAAAGACAAATCAGATCACATAAATAAAAGGTTGTTTAATGTTCTTGTTTTCTATGAATGGAGAAAAATAATGTATAAAATAATAATGATAATGAAATTGGGTAAATAAACCGAAATTAAACAATGCATAAAAGATTCTACAAGTTATAAAAAAATAAACCTAAAACAAGCCCTCGAGGGTTTATCAACAGAGGTGGATGGGGTGATGGAACTACCCTCCCCATCTACCAATATGCTTCCTACCCTTAGCCTGAAAGTGGTGGGTAAAGGAGAGGAAGGTGGAGTCAGTCCCTCCCCCGCCTTACTCTGACATCCTCCACTCCATCGTCAGCGGAGGAGGGAGAAAAAGGTGAAGGAATCGTTCTCTCGTTGGTGACCCTCCATCCCACTAACATCTGAGAAGGAGGGAGTGAAGGGTTGACGACTGGGACCCTCCACACTGGGACCCTCCACACAACTGTTGGCTGAGGAGGAGGAGGAGGGAGGGAGAAAACCTCACCTTCCCCTTTTGTCACCCCTCACCTGACCCTCAGTCAAGGAGAAGGGAGTGGAAAGGGGGGGGGGAGAAGGAAACGCCCTCCCTTCCACCACCTTCCACCTTCACCCCCAAGGAGGAGGACGTGGAGGAGAAGGCTGGAGGACTACAGGTAGGAAGACCCCCGCCCTCCCCTCCGTCAGATCAAAGGGTCGTGCTGGGCTGCCCCGCGCGATACTGAGCTTCAGACGCTGGCTAAATGGATCAATCAGATTAGGTCGGGTTATCATCATGTTATATCTGAGTATTGTTTGGTGAGGTGCAGAGCTGCCCACCTCCCTTGGTCCACCCTGCCTCCACACCCTCCCTTACCCTGCCTCCACGTCCTCCGTCATCCTGCCTCCACATCCTCTCTCACCCTGCATCACCCTGCCTCCACACCTTGCATCACCCTGCCTCCACACCTTGCATCACCCTGCCTCCACACCCACCGTCACCCTGCCTCCACATCCTCTCTCACCCTGCAACACCCTGCCTCCACACCTTGCATCACCCTGCCTCCACACCCTCCGTCATCCTGCCTCCACCACCACCCTCATTATCTTCACCATCACCCTCACCACCTTTACTACTGCCACCACCACCACCACCACCATTACTATCATAACTACCACCAATACTACCCCAACTACTATCAGTACGACCATGGGTTTGGTTGGGGATGGAATCGAATCGTGAGGGAGTCGATTGAGGGGGGGAGGGTGACGGGAGGGAGGGTGACGTCAGACATAGTCCATCTTGTCCCATTCTCTCTTTGCCACTGAATTTATGAGAGACCATTTTAGAAGCGGCAGGTCTAGGGGTCACCAGCTCCGCCTCGCCACACTGTGTAACAAGGCGAGAGTCAGGTGATAAAAAGGTAAAAAATAACTCGCAATGTTTTCTTGTATTTAAAGGGTCAAATTTAAGGTCAAAACAACGCATTTCATAACTGTAATTGATACCTGTAATGAAACTATGCTGAAATCCGGGAAGGAAATCATAGACGGGGTTATCAGTTGAAGAGGTGGGGGCGAGGGATGGTTGGTTCAGTCGCTGCAGGTACGAGATACAACACTCCTCTACTCCGGCAAGTTTACTCTGTTATGGGGGTGGGGGGGAGGGGTGGGGGGTAGTTAAAATGTGGCTTGAATATACGAGAAAAAACGGGAGGGAGGGGGGTGGATATTCATGGTTACTCTGACTTAAGGTTGTATTAGAAGGAAGAATAGAGAAGGTAGGGAGTAGAGGTGATACTTAGGGTGGTATATACAGTATTATTAAGGTGAGGGGAGGGGGGGGGGGAGACGAGGCAGGAGGGTGATGACGGTGGACAGTTTTAGTGTGTTTAGTGATGTGTGGGCCACAATCTGCCATGGCACTTTGGTTAACTTTAGGTTTGTGTTACATGAAACACGTGATATTCAAACAAACATTTGCTCGCCCGACTATCGTAATACTTTTATTCTTATCCTCTCCCATTTAACACATCGCGTTTTATTTCCGTATTTGCAAATAGGGATTGAATAATACAATTATATTTTTGCTATTTGACTTTTGTTTTGCGTGTATGTGTATGTGTTTGTGTGTGTTTTTTTTCTTCCCCAGCACGGACTTTACACCGTATAAACAACGAGCTTTGTATATACCTCGTAAAACATATACCAAATATAACACACTTGTAGGGGGCGTCTGTGGAATCAATAGACAGGTATATAGTCTCAGGTATATAGTCTCAGGTATATAGTCTCGTATGTGTATTTAAATATTTACTTACGGCCTGAGTTATATACCCGCGTTACTGCCACCGTAAAGTGGTGGTTCATGATCGTCCCTCTTTAGATGTTGGTAACGAAATGGAAGGTAGTTGTTGAGGGAAGTAGAATGTGATATGGACAGTGTTTTTCCTTCCTTCCTTCCTTCCTTCCTTCCTTCCTTCCTTCCTTAGATATTATTTAAGTTAATAGTTTTTTAAA